AGGGGAAATCAAAGAAATATTTAAAATATATTAGTTTAGTTTTTATTCTCCCTGTAGAGTTTCTGCAAAATAGACTCTTTTATTGCACTAGTGTCTTAGAAGGTCTATCGAGTATTTGATTTCATTTAGAAAAGCCCATGAGCACCTATATTTTTGAGAATTCTGATACTGAGTGTCAATGACTGCCAGTGGTTTAGATATTTTTTAGAAAGATATTATTGCAGTGATGATCTTATTCCATATTTTAGGCATAACAATTTAAGGCCTATTGCTTGTAATAGGGATAAAATGGAAGTAATTTAAAAGTCTATCAATGAAGAAAGCAGAAATAAAACGTGTTATTGTCATACAATGAGCTATGATTCAGCAGTTTAATGAACCAGATCTCCCTATAGTCAATCTGTGCAGGTCTCCACAGAATGGAGGGGTAAAAGGTAGGTTGTAGTCAAATAGGTATAGAAATACATGATTTTTTAAATGCATAAATAATTCACCATATATTTTCATTCATAAATTGGATTGAAAAGATACACATGAAGTCATCATCACAATTTCTACTTGAGAAGGCAAGAAACGTACTGGGGAGAAATATGGGGTGATTTTAACCTTATTTGTTCTGTTTTATTTAAATCAAAAATAATCTGAAATAAATACAGTATGACAAAACATTGATTTTTGTTAATTCTGGGGTCTTCCTTTTATATATTTTTAGAGACAGGGTCTCACTCTGTTGCCCAAGCCGGTTGCGATTCTGTGATTAAAGCTCACTCAACTACCCAGGTTCAAGCAATTCTTTTACCTCAGCCTCTAGAGTAGCTAGGACAATAGCTATCTTCCAAAATTAGAAAATTGTAATAACATCATGCACTAAACGCAACTACTGAATGCAAACTTTGTGAAACATTCTGCAGGTCAGCGTGGTCTGTGTCTTCATGGAGAGATTGTGGTTTGGAATGTCTGACCAAAATTGCCTTTGCAAAAATTGTAACAGTGAGAAAATTATAGCAGTAAAAGAGATCTGACCTTGCCTTCAATCTCCACACTACCATTGTTTATTCCTGAGTGTAAGCTAAGCTAAGTTTGGGATGAACTTAGTCTATAGTTTAACTTTGAAACAAAGATGATAACAGCCTTTCCCCAAACAAATCCCCTTCTTGCCTGGGGACATTAGTCACAGGATTAGAAATTATGGGTTAGGAGTCATGCAGCTGCAGGTCACAAGATTGTAGACCTTTCCAATTTCTCCTAGGGATAACATCACTATTGTAAAACCAAAAATTGGTACTCAGGATATTTTTTTCAGACTCCACATTATGATGTACCAACTGGCACCACCCAGACTGGTAATCTGGCTCAACCAGTTCTGTGATCCCACCCAGGCACAGAAGACAGCAAGAAGAACCTACTTCCCCTAAAATTTCATCTCCAACCCAACAATCAGCACTCCCCTCTCCCTGGTGCCCACCCACCAAATTATCCTTAAAAAAATCCCAGTTTCCAAATTTTCAAGGGGAATGATTTGAGTAATAAAACTCCAGTCTCCCACTCAGCTAGCTCTGCCTCAATGTCAATAATCTAGTTATTTCTCTATTGCAGTTCCCCTGTCTTGATAAATTGGTTATATCCGGGCAGTAGCAAGAATAACTCATTGAGCTGTTACATGATAAGCACATAAAAATGTGCTTTATATCCTTAAGCATCAGAAAAATAAATATTAAAACCAGGATGAAGTATATTTTACTGCTATTAGAATGGATATAATTTTAAATGACTGAAAATACCAAATGCTAGTAAGGATACGAGTAACTGAACCTCTTGTAATTGCTAACCACTTTGAAAAGCTGTTTGACAGTTTCGTGCAAGTTAAACATAAACCTTATGATCCAGCAATTCCTTCCTTAGGAATTTACTCAAGAGAAATGAAAAAACATTCATATAAAGGATGGCCTAAAATTTTTCACAGAAGTTTTATTCTCAGTGGCTAAAAACTGGAAACAATCAAATGTAATCAATGAGAGAGTGTATAAACAATTATGGTGTCTGCATACAATGGAACACCATAGAACAATCACAGAGAATTAGATAACTGATATACAAAATAACATAGATGATTCTCAAAAACATTATGCTGATAAAAAGAAGCAAAAAAAGAGTAACTACTGTTCATTTATACTGCATTTCATTTATATTGATTTCAGTTCTATGAAGTTCTAGAATGGACAGTTGGTAGTGGTAGAAATTAAAACAGCAGTTTGCTCCTGGGATGAGAGGGATGGTGACTAGAAATGCACATGGGGAAAATTTTTGAGTTCATGGAAAGATTCTACATATTGATTGAGGTGTTGGCTACATGGGTATATGCTCGTCACAACTTGTCTGTTGCAGATATAATTGTCTTGCATTTTATTGTATGTAAATTTTGTCTAAAACATTAGAAAGTTAAAACCAAGGAAGAAAGATTGTGCCATGAAGAAAACATTAAATAAAAGATTTTCTCTTGCCTTTTGACCCCAAAACTCCATATCCCAAAATTTATTCTAAAACAAAGACCCAGGCACAAAATAATATTTATTGACTCACTAAATATTTATTGAGCACCTTATGTGCCAGAACTCAGGGCATAGGCACAAAATGGTTAGCTAAAAACACAGCAAAAACAATAAATAAACAGTAAGAAACATGATGTAGAGTTTAATGAGAAAGAGCCATTCATTACAAAGTCACTTAAATCGTTGTGGAATCACACTTGTGCTAAGGGCTGTAAAGAAGTGCATAGTGATACGGCAGCATTGAGTTGAAAATGTTGATCTTGTCAGGAGGTTGGAAAGATCATCTATAACGAAAAGAGAATAGGGCTGGGATGTGAAAGGCAAATAGGGGTTTGAGGGGGAAGAGTGGAAAGAGTTTTGCATTCATAGGAAATAGCATTTTTAAATGTCCTGGCAGCAGTTTGGGTCTTGTGAGAAGGAAAAGCCAAGATGGGACTCAACATGTGAGGGACCTATTTGGAGAAAACACCTGTGAAGGCAGGGGATGCATTAATCGGGATTCCTCAGAGGAACAAAGCCAGTAGGATATATATTTCTATGTTTATTTTTCTAGGAAGGAATTGGCTTATATGTTTACAGGCAATGACAAGACCTAAACACTGCAGTTGGCAAGCTGGAGATCCAGGAGAGCTGACAGTGTAGCTCCAGCAGACTTGCAAACCAGGAAGAGTCTGAAGGCAGGAAAAAAAGAAGCCAGTGTCCCGGCTCAGCAGGAAGGCAGGAGAAGTTCCCTCTCACCCTGGCTTTTTGTTCCATTCAAGCCTTCCACTGACCAGACAAGGCCCACTCATATTAAGGAGGGCAATCAACACTGTTTAGGTGTTGTTCTCATTCAGAGACACCATCACCGATATGGTTTGGCCATGTCCCCACCCAAATCTCAACTTGAATTGTTTCTCCCAGAATTCCCATATGTTGTGGGAGGGACCCAGGGGGAGGTAATTGAATCATGGGGGCCAGTGTTTCTCATGCTATTCTCATGATAGTGAATAAGTCTCATGAGATCTGATGGGTTTATCAGGGGTTTCTGTTTCTGCCTCTTCCTCATTTTTCTCTTGCCACTGCCATGTAAGAAGTGCCTTTCACTTCCTGCCACAATTCTGAGGCCTCCCCAGCCATTTGGAACTTTAAGTCCAATTAAACCTCTTTTTGTGCCCAGTTTTGGGTATGTCTTTATCAACAGTGTGATAATAAACTAATGCAGTCGCAGACACACTCAAGATGATGTTCAACCAAATGTCTGGGCACCTTGAAACCCAGTCAAGTTGACACATAAAATTAACCATCCTAGGTAGCAAGTAGGAGTAGACAAGGAAGGGCTTCAGACCAAGATACTGATCTGATCTGTGAAGGGAGAGAGGGAAGGAAGGATTAGGTAGGAAGAGCCTTCGGACCTCAACAGAGCATCCAGAAAGTCTCTGGTCAAAGGAAGTCCTTGAGTCAAAGTTGTTCATTAGAGAGGGTCTGAACTGAGCAGAAATGACGTGATTTTGGTAATCCTGCCATACTCTATCTTTGGCTGAAAGAACCCTGCAGAAAGAGTTGACTGATGTGAACAAGCACATGGATTCAAAGATGTGGCAGCTGGAGGATGTCACCAAAGATTCTCCTAAAGGCAACTGCATGGCTATCATGATCTTATTGTGCTAAAGGGCAATGATGATGATGAGGAATTATGGAAAGGCCACACAGAGAAAGGAAAGAGCGTGTCTGAGAAGAGAGAGATGTCCTGGAAGGACTAGGGAGAAGTCTTGTGTTCCATGCTATGAATATATGTCTGAGGCACTGCATGTTTTAAACAGCGTGGGGAAGTAATGAGGCTTATTGTTTGAAAAGATCACTGGCAGCACCATGAAGAATGGACTGAATATATGTCGTATTAATAAAGAGTAAGTAAATTGTTAGTCCAGCCAAGAGATGGTAGTATCATGGTCTAGGGAAGCAGAAATATGGAGAATTGGAAGTATCTAAAGAGTATTTGAGGAACAAAAGTAATGGTTGAAAAATAGGCAAGTATGAGATGCCTCCAGGGTTTTCTGGATTATAGAGGTGGATAGAAGCTTGTAGAAGTCATGAATTTAGATGAGGCTGCCATCTTAAGATGTCACTAAGAAAATGCCATTTTTCTTAATGTTCTCAATGCCAATAATCTTTTTTTTTTTTCATTGTAGACGCTAAAAACAGCAAGATAGTTATTTCTCCATCTTCTGTTGTAGTCACATGGCTACAAAGTATGTAAGGGGCATGTGTTGGAGGGCTTCTGGGGACATATGTATTTTCAGCTAAAAGAAGAGATGCCAACCCTAAAATGACAAGCAAATATTTATTGCTGATAAACAAACTAAGGAAATAAAAACGAATAATAAAAAAATAACGTTTAAAAAGAAGACAAAGAAAAAGGGAGAAAAAAGGAGCACTGAGACCAAGGGCTAAAGCTGGGAGGCTGGAACAATGCAGACCACCAGGGCATCACTCATTGCTCCAGGTCTGATCCACCGTTGTACCAGGGGCTTTATCAGGCCTGTGTCTGCCTCCTTCCTAAATAGTCCCGAGAATTCATCTGAACAGCCTTTCTGCAGCAGCTCCCCACTCCAGATGTCCCGACGGGAGTTCCACACCAGTGTTGTCTCCTGGGACATTGACACAGCGGCCAAGTTTATTGGTGCTGAGGCAGCCGTAGTTGGTGTGGCTGGTTCAGGGACTGGCAGTGGAATGGTGTTTGGCAGCTTCATCATTGGCTATGGCAGGAACCCTTCTCTCAAGCAGCAGCTCTTCTGCTATGCCATTCTGGGCTTTGCCCTGTCTGAAGCCATGGGGCTCTTCTGTTTGATGGTTGCCTTCCTCATCCTCTTTGCCATGTGAGGCTCCATGGGGGTCACCTTCCTGTCCCTGCTGCTGCGACTCCATGCCATGGGTGCTGGGGTGTGCTAAGCTTTATCATTAAATGCAACGTTTCTCTAACCCCCGCCCTCCCCCCAAACAAAAGGGAGAAAGAAGAATAGATGGAGCAAACAGAAAACAAATAGCAAGATGGTAGACTTACAGTTAAACATAGCAATAATTACATTAAATTATAATGGTATAAGTGTCTCAAAAGAAAGAGATTGTCAGATAGTATAAAAATGGAAGACCCAACTATATGATGCCTGCAAAAATCAACCACAAAACCACATAAAATGAAAAGGTACAAATACATGAAAAAATATGGACAAGGATATACAGGCTAACTCTAGTTAAAAGAAGATTAGGTGACTATGTTAATATTCAATAAATATTTCAGACCAGAGACTATTAGCAGAAATAGTAATAAAGAAGACCATCACGAGGACATATAATTTTGAATGTTTATGTACCTTATAACAGCCCTTCAAAACACATGAAGCAAAAATAGCAAGAAGAAATAGACAATTGCACACTTACAATCAGCAAGTTCAACAGGCCTCTCTCAATAACTGACAGAGCAAGGAGATAGAAAATCATCAACTTGATCTGATATTTATAGAACCCTGCCCCCAATTACAGTAGAATATACATTTCTTTCAAACTCATATACAATACTTATCAGAGTGATAATATTCTGGATCATAAGAAAGTCTCAATAAAGAACTCAAATGTACAAAATATCTTCTTTGGCAATGATGAAATTAAATGAATCGACAACAGAAAGGTATGTGGAAAATCCTCAAACCAAATAATATACTTTTAGTAACTTACGGGTCAAAGAAGAATTCAAAATAAAAAATAGAAAATATTTTGCACTTAACATATGGAAATACAATATATGAAAATTTGTTGATTACCACTAAAACAGTAATTAGTGAAAACTTTTTAGCGCTATGTGCCAGTATTAGAAGAGAAGTCTCTAGTGACCTCAACTTCTATGTTAAGAAGCTGCAAAAAAAGAGCAAATTACACAAAAGGCAAGCAGAAGAAAGGAAGTAAAAATCAGAATGAAAATCACCAAAATAGGAAAAAGAAAACCAATCGAGTAAATCTATGGAACCAAAAGATGGTTCTTGGAGAAGATAAAATTGATAAACCTCTAGGCAGGCAGTTCAGAGAAAAAGAGAGAAGAACCAAATTACCAATATCAAGAATGAGACAGCTGGAATCATTCTACAGATATAAAAGGATAAGATAGTGTCTAGCACCAATTTATGCTAATACATTGGTTCTAAATACAATTTGAAGATGTGCCTCCATTTTATCCACTGATAAGGAAAAAATACCACTAACTTACCTTTTTGTATCAATGAGCAATTATGCTTTTTGGACAAGTTTCATTGAGGTATAATTGACATACAATAATCTGCACTTACATAAAGTGTATTTTTTATTTTGAATTCTTCTCTGACCCATAAGTTACTAAAAGTATATTATTTGGTTTGAGGATTTCCCATATATCTTTTTGTTACTGATTCATTTAATTTCATCATTGATATGTCATGGATGCATCTGAAAATAATGGACAAGTGCCTTGAAAGGCACCAACTACCATGTGACCCAGTCATTCCACATGGAGGTATTTGCCCGCGAGAAGAGAAAGCTTGCATCTGTACAAACACTAGTACATGAATGCTCACAGCAGCTTTATTTACAGTAGCCTAAAATTGGAAACAACTTGGCTGGGCATGGTGGCTCATGCCTGTAATCCCAGGACTTTGGAAACCTGAGGCGGGCAAATCATGAGGTCAGGAGTTCAAGACCAGCCTGGCCAACATGGTGAAGCCCTACCTCTACTAAAAGTCCAAAAAAGTACCTGGGCATAGAGGCAGGTGCCTGTAATCCCAGCTACTTGGAAGGCTGAGTCAGGAGAATCTCTTGAACCCAGGAGATGGAAATTGCAGTGAGCTGAGATCGCACCACTGCACTCCAGCCCAGGTGACAGAGTGAGACTCCATCTCAAAAAACAAAACAAAACAAAACAAAACAAAATTGGAAACAACCTAAAACGTCATTAGTATGTAGAAGGATGAGCAAATTGTGCTGTTTTTGTAAAACAGAATACTACTCAACAACAACAAAAATGAGCTATTTGGTACTCTTAACAATGTGGATGCATCTCAAAATAATAATGCTGATTGAAAGGAGCCAGATAAAACAGAATACACATGTATAATTCTATTTCTATAACAATCTAAAATATGCAAAAATGATTTATAGTGACAGAAAGCAGATTGGTGGTTGCTTGAGGACTGGAATCTCGTGAGATGGAGAAAGAGATTAAAAAGGGGTATGAGGAAAACTTTGGAAGAGTGATGGATATGTTTATTTCCTTGATTATGGTGGTGATTTCACAGGTGTATATATATATACATATATATATATATACATACATTTATATGTATGTATATATATATATGGAAAAACTTACAGAATTTTACATTTTATGTATGTGCAGACTGTTGTATGTCAGTTATATCTCAATGGAGCTTGTTCAAAAATATAATTGCTCATTGATATGAAAAGGTAAGTTACTGGTATATTTTTCTTACCAGTAGATAAAATGGAGGTGCATCTTAAAATTGTTGGCATTAAATTCAATAAAAGGCAGCAATAAATGCCTTTGATCTGAGATTCTGGTGGCTGAGCTTCATGCTATTTTCAGCTAAAAATGTAAAGTGATAGAATTGGCAATACTGGCAATCATGTTGGAAGGATTGTGAATTTGTTTTTAGCCATGTTAAGATCAGGGCATTTTGGTTAGGGCTGCTGGTTGTCCCTCAGTAGCTTCCTAACTGATCACTACATCTTCTTCTCAGTTTCTCTCAGATCCATTCCCCACACAGCAGTCTTTCTTCTTTTGCAGTAGACTTCCAAACACGGCTGTATCGCATAAAGCCTACATTTTTCCGCCTCGCTGAAGATGAGGTCATGTGACTAAGTTCTGGCCAATGAGATAAGAGTGGAATTGACATGTTTAGCTAATTATAGTCACCGGTCTAGGAAAGGAGTCCCTAAAATTGCAAATGGGGCTGTCACATTACATTGTAAATGTGTCTGGCTTTTTACTTGCATATAATTCAACGTCACAGAAACTACGTTTTCAAAATGAAAAAATTCCAGACACAATTAAATGGTATTGTATAAATGCAGTTAAAATGCTTATTCTGGAGCTAGCAATATTGCTGAATACTAATCCCCAAACTGAAGCAGTCTTCTTCTGTCTTTGGACATGTCATTTAGTCTTTCTGCTTCAGGTCCCTGAGCTGTGAAATGTGGATAATATTACAGGGCTTGAGGGTGCTGTGAGGCTTAATTAACATTGGCAGAGCACTTTGAACATAAGACTTTGCCCTCTTCACAATTTTATCTGGGGACCTCAACAGACTGTACCAATAAGGCTGGTCCCATTTATCTCTGTTTTCCAGATCAGGTTATGAAGCAGGGAGAAATTAATGGCTTGCCCAAAGTCATTCTGTGAACCAGGAGAACAGCCCTGAGGAGTCCTCTGGAATATTGACTTCTAATCTTCCTGCAGCAACCACTGGATGCACTCTTCATTTTGAAAAAGGGTCTCAGAAATGCCAAATCCCTATGTTATCTAGTTACTTCTCTTTGGTCTTTTTCTTGTGTGTTGGCCTAGATTTTTTTTTGATCAGTTTTCCAGCGGCCTACAGAGAGGAGGGCTCTTTTCACTAGAAAAGAAACTCAGAAAATATCTGGGAGAGTTTAATGATCATAAGAGTCTTTATGGTGTCCCCATCAAGGTCACTAGAGGGGTTTGTTTGTTTTTGTGTCCTTAGTCGTAAAACTTAAGACGTGAGACCCACTTGTGCAGAGAGAAACAGTCATTCTGGTTCTTAGAAATTGCATTTGGAACTTATTTTTAAGAAATCACACAGGAGAAAACGAAAATATCCACTACTCCTGCCAATAATGAATAACTGCTGCTAATATTTAATGTCAAGATATTCAGATTTTTTTCTACATAAAAACTATACTATTTAAAAATGGGACCATATTGTATAGATAATTTATAACATAGGAATCTTGCTATTCTCCTAGTTCCAGTCAGCCTGACCTTGCTCTGCCATATGTCACTCCATTGCTGATGGCGGCCCATCACCTTCTCTATGTTTGCCTAGATAAGAGCACCTCTTCCTTCTCATCTCAGCTCCCCACTGCTCCATTCCTCACTTTCCAGAAGGGTCAGGTCCTGTCTTCCTGTTCCGCCATTACATGATATCCTGTAATTTTCCTTCATGTATAATTTTACCCTTATCTATTTTTATAATATCTCTCACTCCCAGTGGATAGCCAGCTCCATGAAGGCAGAGAGTGTGGTCTCCTTCTCTCTACGCTATTGACACCTAGGTAGCCAGCATGCCTGGCTAAAATTGTAGCTCGAGTAATATCTGCTGAATGATCCAATAAGTTAAATACTTTCCGCTCGTTTTAATGGCCGTGATTTGGATTTGTAACAGAATGGTAAATGTGACTCTTCCTGTTGATTTCATTTCAGTAGAGTCTTAAAGGCCCGGGGTGCAAAAACATTTAGAAAACATTCTAAAGCAAGGTGCAGGACCATCTGTGCAGAAATTGCCAAAAATAGTAGTTCAAAACTGTTTTGTCTGCATAAGTTGATCATGTACCTCCAGCCTAAATAAGACATTGCGGGTAAAGAGATTAAAGAGGGAAGATTTCTTGGCAGAGAGCTGGTCTTCTCTTTCCCACAGGGATAGATAGGGGAGCTTGCCCTTTATCTTAAAGGAATGGAGCTGTTTTCAAGAGAGTCACTCAGAAGGCCAGATGTGCATCCCCTCAAGTGTTAAGGACACAGGGACAAGTGCCAGACTCACCCCTTAGGAGTCTAAAGGTGGAGGCTGTGGATTGGCTAGTTGCCCTGACTATGGCAGCAAAGAATGGTGGCTGCCGTAGAAGTGAGCTGACCGTTCATGTACAAGGGCAGCAGTGAGTGAGATTCTCCTCTGGCTGGTTAAACATACAGAGGGAACCACTAGAGGTTATAACAGAATAGATGCCACCAAGAGAACCACAAGAAGTGCAAACAGAATTCAACATCTATGTGGGGCACTGGGATTTGGGAGGTGGAGGAGGTAAAAGAGTGGCCATACTGACAAAGGAATTGCAGATGGACCATCTAGCAGGTCCATCTCTAATGGATTCACAAAAGCTTCTTGACAGAAAGAGCAAAACGTTCATCCACCTGCTACCTACAGCAAAACCTAGGACAACTCCAAAGCAAAACCTACGACAAACAACTTTCTCATTTGTTTATCATAAACGACACTGCAGTGGACATTCTTAGAACTAAATATGTGTGCCTTTGAATACATTTCCAGAAATGATATTGTTGAAGACCAAGGATAGGCAATTATTAAAGTTTTTTTTGTTTTTTTAAATTAAATATTATTACTTGTGCTCCAAAACAGTCATGTCAATGGATATAAATTCACATTCTCATCAGCAGTTCCATTTCTCTTTTTCTAAAGATATTTGAGTAATGACTTTTAGATGTAGGTTTTTATGTGATCTCACCATTTCCAGTCCAATCCCTTCTAATTCATTTTTATTCATCAGACAGGCTAATACTTAAAAAAACATAAATCAGATGCCACTTCATGATTTCTATCTTTTAAATAAAATACAGTCCCTTGCTGTGGCCTGCAAAGACCAGAAATGCATTGCCCCTTCCTATCTGGTTCTAGGACTACATTTCCCATCACTCCCTCCTTCTCTGAGCTTAAGCCACAGGACCCTTCCCAAAGCCCCTTGAACTTTCCATGCTTTTTCCTGCAAGCTGGCCTTTTCAAGCACCCTTCTCTCCAGCTGGAATGCACATTCCCTGACATCTTCCACAGCTTCTTCTCATCTTTCCTATCTTAACTTATGTATCACCTCCTCAGAGAAGCCTTCCCTGGCTCTCTCTTATCTGAAGTAGAATTCTTTGTTACTCCTTACAAAGCACACTGCTGACTCCTTTTCACCACCATCTATAGCCATTTACATTATTTATTTACTTGTTTATTTTTTCTGAGTTACAAGCTCCATGGGGACTGAAACTTTTTTTATCCGTGTAGGTGTGTGTGTATGTTTGAGTGTGCCAAAGTTTGTTGTAGACAATCTTTGCTCATAGCAGATACCCAATACATGTTTGCTGAATGCAGAAAGGAAGGAATGAAGCAATGAATAACTGAAGCAGAATTGTTTTCAGGTTCTCCTACCTGATTTGATGTCATCTTCCAAGTCATTCTTCTTTAGCTGGCTAGGGACTGATAGAGGGAGAACAGGCTGTAGAGCAAACAACCTCCCTTGTTGGTGATAGCCAAGTCATTTTCATGAGCACCGTCTCACCCTCCAGAGGAAAGGCTGCATATGTTTCTGTGACACTCCCACTGTGAGCAGCAGGCAGCGAGGCCAAAGCTCAAGTTATTTTTGGTAAGGGTATTGGAGAAGTGCCATTCCAGCTTCAGCCTTGGTGCTTTGTGGTGCTTGGTGAAAACACAGTCTCTTTTGGTGAAGCTTGGGAGCCCATCCCTGCTCTGGAAAAGTGTAGAAATCTCTGGATTTTTGTACATAATTTCCTGCCCTCAATAGCTAAAGATGAAGAATGACAATGATAAGGAAGATAATTGGCTGAATGAAACGCAGCGAGCAGGGCAAGAGTTGTCCATATGTTTAAGCTAGAGTGGATTTCTGCTTTGAATGTGGTAGACCAGATGACCCATGGGTTAACTTCTGGCTTTGCAATGCTGTGGTTAGAAGATCTATTTGAGTGTGTGATAAGTTTTGTATCCTATCAACAAGATGCCCACATAAAGAAAGAGTACTACTATGTGCATTGTCTTCTGAACTCTCGTTCATTTCATTTTAATTAACGCTTTTAAAATAAGGGCAGTATGAGGGCCTGCCTAGGATAAAGCAAGTCAAGTGCCTATAGTGCAAGATTTAAGGATGCAGTCACTCTCAGGATCATGCCAATGAAGGCTCAGCACTCACAAAGCCCTGATAGTGAAAGCGTCCTTAAATTTTATGTCCTAGGTGCCTCACTTCCACTACCCTAGTCCCAGCCCTGGGGAGTGTGCTCTCTATAAGCCAAATAAGATGAGCTCAAATAGGCTGGGCATGGTGGCTCATGCCTATTATCCCAGCACTTTGGGAGGTTGAGGGAGGTAGGCAGGTAGATCACCTGAGGTTTGTAGTTCCAGACCAGCCTAACCAACATGGAGAAACCCCATCTTTACTAAAAATACAAAAATTAGCCAGGTGTGGTGGCAGGTGCCTGTAATCCCAGCTACTTTGGAGGCTGAGGCAGGAGAATCGCTTGAACTTGGGAGGCGAAGGTTGTGGTGAGCTGAGAGAGATTGGCTCAAATAAATAAACAAATAAAAAGAGAGAGAGGATTGGCCCAAATAAATGCAACAGAACATAAAATGGCACATGCTACTTGGAAGTCCAAGAGGTAGTTCTAGCTTCAGGCATGGTTTTATCTCTCGATCTATCTCTGTTTCCATTTCCTTCTTTTTTCTCTTTATTCTCAGCCAGGCTCTCCTTTTGGAGGCAAGAGGGTCAAAGCTAACTGCAGACCATTACGGGGTAGGGCCCTCAAGTTTTCTTCTATTTACTGTAGGGAAAACTTTGATTGGATCTCCTCTAGGTCACATGCTCATCCCCGTGCCAATCCCAGGTGGTGCGTGCTGAATGCCCAGCCTTGATCAGCTGTCTGGTCCTGTGGTGAGAGTGACTGGGGCTGCACTTAGCACTCACGCCACCAGAATCACTCACTGTTGGAAGTGGTGCAGCAATTCCCAGACAACAGAGGTGGATCAGTGGGCTGAGGCTGCTTTCACTTCTTCAGTCTATAGCTTTATGGAAATACCACAGAAAGTTTTGGAATTTTCTCAAGTCATCTGAGCCTTATACATGTGTCTGTACACAATTTAGTTGAGATGCTTTGGGCTTCAAGTCACAGTGCCATGGTACCTTAGGCTGGACTCCTTTGGTGGTAAGTGACAGAATATCTTAGTTTGGGGGTTTAAACGAAAATGGGAATTTTCTAGTTTGTGCAATTAAATAGTCTAGGCGCGGCACTGGTTAGGTATGGTGTGCTAATGGACCTGCCCATTATTGATTCATGTTGTTCTTTCAGTGACAGACCATGCCCAAATGGAAACTTCATTCTCAATTTTCCTGTGGAGCCAGGTGTGGCCATGTGACAAAACACTGGTCTATGAGATACAAGAAAAAAAGATGTTTGAGACATCTGGATCATATTTTTATTAGAAGGTTATTTTCCCTCCATGCTTTCTTCCAACTTCCTGGGAAATGACAGGGTATTGGTCTGTTTTCATGCTGCTAATAAAGGCATACCTGAGTTAGACTGCGTAGTTTATAAAGGAAAGAGGTTTAATGGACTAACAGTTCCACATGGCTGGGGAGCCTCACAATTGTGGTAGAAGGCAAAGGAAAAGCTAAGGCATGTCTTACATGGTAGCAGGCAAGAGAGCTTGTGTTGGGGAACTCCCACCTTTATAGAACCATCAAATTTCATGAGACTTAGTCACTACCACAAAACAGTATGGGGGAAACCATCCCCATGATTAAATTATCTCCACCTTGCCTCACCCTTGACATGTGGAGATTATTACAATTCAAGGTGAGATTTTGGTGGGGACACAGAAAAACTATATCAGACAATAGCCAGACCCAAGGATGACAACTATGTCCTGAGGTGCCAGAGTTGACCCACAAGCTTGGATCCCTGCGTGGCCGTATAGGACTAAATGTTCTACTTGCCCAGGATAAACTACCCTCCCTGGGTTGTTACATGAAAAATAAATAAACTTTTATCAATCTTAAATCATTATATTTTGGGTTCTGATCGTTACAAAAGCTTCACATCTATTTAAATAACTTCTTGGTGTGCTGGATGAGGGGTTCTAACAGTGTCATCAGGATCTGATTTGCATCTCTTTATCTCTTGGTTCTGCTTTTTTTTTTTTGAAGGAAATTTTATAACTTTATTTGATGTATTGGACAATCAGTGATTAGTTCCCATCCACGTTGACTGTCAGTAGATTTTTGAAAGTGTTAACAGGTACATAGGTAACCAAAGTATAGAGCCTATTTGGTGAATCTTCATCTTCATTATGTATTCTCGACAACCACACACGGATTCAGTATGGGACATTCCTTATTCCTTTGTCCCAGACAGCTTTGTTGAGCCTGGTATCAATCCGCACATCTGGAGTTCCCATCTCCTTCATGGCAAATTTCCGAATCTCTTTGTGTGCCCAAGGGGCATGCTTCTTGAAGCCTGCTCCATGGATACGCTTGTGAATGTTGACAGTGTATTCTTGGATCACCACGTCGCTGATGGTGGAACGGCCCTTCTTTTTTCTCACCACCCTTGTTTTCGGGAGCCATTCCGCCAGGTCCAAGTAGGAAAGCTTCTGTAGCGTGGCCTTCACTCTTAGATAAACCTACCCCTGGGGTTTCACGACGTGTGGCAGCAGCTCCTGGTCTTCTTCCATCCAGATTCCATTTCAACTGGAATGTGAGGCTTCCTCCCCCAGTATTCAGTAAAAGTAACCCAATTAATTGTTAATTGGCCAGCAGGTCATGTGCCCATATCTGAACCAATCACCAACCACCAGCTGTCCAAAGGAAGGCGATGGACAGGGTTGCACACGTGAACTGGAAGCAGGGAATAAGTACACTACAAGTGAAAATGGTGACGACTGTGGGAAGAACAAAGTCTGGATGCTGAGGAAACAAACAGAAATGCATACTACAAATAACAAGCTGTAAGTGTTGAAAACTGAGTGAAAAACACAGAATGAAATTGTATTTTTTTTCTGTCAGACGTTTCCAGTGAAACTAAGTCATGCATGATAGTGTTTGTTTGGCAGCATACGGTTAGGCAGGTTGCACACTGTACAACTGTGTATGTGCTGCTTACATTGACTACCTCTGTCAATCGTTCTTTTCCCTTTCTGCCAGGGCTGTCTATTGCACAATTCGGACAAGTATAAATGTCCTGTGGATAGTATATCATAGTCTGTACAGGTTGCATGTATGTCAATTTGATTTCACCAAGCAAAACCATATATTGGATTCCATCTTAAATACAATGATTTAAGATGGATAAAATTTTATTCATTTTTCATGTGACAATCCAGGGAGGATAGTTTATCCTTGGCAAGGAGGACACTTGGTCCTGTAAGGCTACCCAGGGATCCAAGCTCATGGATCAACTCGTGGGTCTTGCAATTTAAAAAAGAAATCACTTGTTCCTTCACATCTAGTTTGATATTTTCTCATTTGATTCTAGTTCTTCAGTTCCAGTTAAATTCTTTATGGATGTTGATTATAGTCAGCATTAACTATCAAGGGATGGATTTCTCGGGTTTAGTTTTTGTCAGTAATTATTTCCATTATTGTGGGCCCTTCACTTCAAAGTCCTTATGCCTTAATTTCTTCATTATTTGTTTCTACAATACTGTGGTTTTGGTCTATACATGATGTGTTAGATAAATGTCTTCCATGAACACCTCTCTTTTACAGCAACCATGGGCAGTATTTTTTTTTTTTTTAAGTTCCAATCCTTCAAAAAGAACTCTCCAAATCATTTTACCATTTCATCTCTTTCAGTGAGAGATTTAAAATTAAAGCATCATTTTCCATAGAATGGCAACATGAAGACAGATGGTTTACTATGCAGCAAAAATAGTTCTCCCTGCCAGAATATTTCCTTTTTGATAGTCCTTATTTAGTCTCCTATGACACATTCTTGGGGGATTCTGTTCTTTAACTAAAACTCATCAACCCAAGGTGACTAAAAGCTAATGTTCCCAGTGAGAACGGGAAGATTCATATAATCCTAGAGTTGAAAGACCTGTGGATGTCATCAGGTCAAACGTTCCACTAGTAACTGGATCCTTTTCTCAATAGCTCTGAGCAGAGATCACCCAGCTTTAGCTTGGTCCTTCCAGTGGGTAAGAATTGTCTAATTTCTGATATTATCTTTGCCTTTGTGACTAGTGCAAATGATTAGAAAGATCTTCCTTGGAAGTCAACTAGTACCCTCTCTGTGACATCTGCTCTTGTTCAGAAGGAGAGCTGGGCTCTATACACACCTGCCTTCAATCATAGCTCTGATAGTGGCCAGCTGTGAGACCTTAATAAGTCCCAGGGGCCTAACTCTTCTGAGCTTCAGTCTGTAAAATATGGATGCTGGTACCTAACTCATTATTCCCTTAACAAGATTAGCACAATGCCCAGCAGGCTGATGCTCAACGTGTGTTGGCAATTATCTACTCAAGTATGCTTTAGGGAGGTAATGCAGTCAGGGGCAGGTGAGTGTAAAATCCAGTCCCCTTCTTAATATTACCGTATAGGCAATATCTCAGGATAGCCAGGAGAGCTCTACTGCCAGGCTAAGGAGGCTTAAATATGGGCCTGGTCTGTACGTAACAGGGCACCCACCTCAAAACGTGCAGGGGAGCTTGAATGAGTGAATCCAAGCAAAAGGCTTGGGAGAGTGCCTGGCGCCTAGGTGGCCATCTTGATAACGACAAGGATTTACTCAGCACTTGCTCTGGGGACAGACCGTGATGAGGCCACGTCTTAGGCCCCTGGAAAACACATTCCAGCGGGAAAGACAGGCTCAAACAGGGAAACTGTGGCAAATGACACCAGGGCGGGTTAGGTCCCTGACACCAAGGAAACCCAAGGAAGCATTTCGCTTAGGCGGTGACAACATCCCTCTCCTCCGATGCCAAGGTCAAGGCGAACCGCGGCAACACCATCTCCCCAGACACACACGCAACGTCAAGGCCCTTCTCGGGGAAAGGGTAGGGGCGGAAGGAAGAGTCGGGGTAGGCGGCAGCTGGAAGAAGTGAAATTTCCTTTCCTCCTAAAATAAGTCGCAGGAGCGAGGAGAGCGAGCGTTATCTCGGCAGGCTGTGGGCGAGGTGCGGGGGCGGCGAGGGCACGCTCGGGGTCAGCCAGGAGGGGAGGGATCGGAAGGGGAAGGGGGCAGGGAGAGGTGGGTGGGAGGCGCGGGGAGCGCGTTCCAGGGCGGCTGCTCGCGGGTGGCCGCCGCCGGGCGCTGGGACCCGCGCGGCTCCTCCTCTTAGCCCCCCACCCCTTCCTCCTCCTCCTCCTCCTCCTTCTCGGCCCCGGGAAGAGGCAGGGCTGGATCCCTCAGCCGCCGCTCCTCCTCCTGGCAGGCCCGCCGCGGAGTCAGCTGACGCCGGCGCTCCAGCCTCGCCTCCCCGCGCCGCGCTCTGCGCTCCCCGAAAGTGGCTGCAAGCCGGCAGCCCACTCTCGGGGTTCGGGGGACAGAGAAAGTGATGTGCGCCCTCTGAAGCCTCGCCCAGCGCCGCCGAAGCAGCGTCACCTCTCCAACTTTCTCCCCCCACGACTCCCTGTCTCGACCCTGCCCTCGACCCTCCCCAAAGCCACTTGGGGTGCGCGCGCCTGGGTAAAGGGGGGTCGCCGGCTGTCGGGGATGGCTTCCAATTTTAATGACATAGTGAAGCAAGGGTACGTGAGGATCCGGAGCAGACGTCTCGGGGTGAGTATCGATCCTCTCGGTTCTGCGGCTCGCCGGTTCGATGGTCTCTCTCCCGAGCCAGCATCCCCGGAGGGCGGACGGAGAGTCTCCCGCCACGCGCCGGGGAGTTGCGCGGTGGCTTTCTCAGCTGAAACCCGCGTCTCCGGGGCTGCCACAGTCAGGCCCGCGTCTAGGTGTGTAATGGATCTATCTTTATCTCTTGGATGACTTGGCTTTCTGATGGTGGCCGCGCGTTGGGCTTCAGTGGCCCCTGGAGCCCATCTACTGGAAGTAAATATTTCTCAGTAGCCATGGAAGTTGGAGCTGAGAAACCCGGGCGGGGGTGCCTGCCGGATGCCCCCAGTTCCCCTCTCTTCCCGCCGCCAACTTAACTTTTCCAAGGCATGGACCGGCTGGTTGAGAAAGAGGACATGCATACTCGGTGTGAACGAGGTCACCAACCCTCTGACCCCAGGGAGAGATTTCTGCCAAGCATAAGGTGTCTTTGGACCCCCCCACCCACCTCTGACCCAGGTGTTGTGGCAAAGGCGGTGCGGGGTGGCCTTTGGCCGGGGGGGTGCCAACTTGAGTACATAGTTCGATCTGGATTTTCCCTGGTCCTGAACCGGGGTGGTGGATTTCTGTTGCTAGAATAGACGCTGCAGATGCAGGGGAGGGTTATTTAGCCCGGAGACTAATACCTGGCATAATGCAAGTGCTCCCTACATAAGTCCTGAAAGGAAGAATGAATGAATTTTAGGGCACTTGGGGACAGATGTTGACAAAGGCCAGCTCCTTTCTTAAAACTCCCTCTCTTTCGCCTCTTTCCCTCTTGTCTCTTCACTGGGGGAGACTTCAAGAGAGAACCCACCCTTCCTCTCCTTGGGCCAGAATGATGGTGAAAGAATTCTTGAGACAGAGGGAAGATACTGGATTGATTTTTTTATTTACTAAAAATTTCAAACTAGATCCCTCTTATCTCTTTGCCTCCTGTCAAGTGTTGTCGCTGTTAGAGTTGAACCTGTGCGTTTGGGCCAGACGTAGAGGGCGAAAAGTGGTGGGGGAGGGTATGCGGGGAGGGGTGGGGGAGAGAAAATGTCCTTTTGTAATGCCTGAAATAATTATAATGTCAGTAATGGTATGGAATGCCCCTGTTGCTAATGAGTGATAAATTGAATAGCTTTCTCTACAAATCTGTGTCATTTGGCTTCTTTCTCTGATTTGGTCTTTAGACTGTTTTAATGTGCCAGATACTTTTACTGAAAATTGAAAAGAAATTTCACAGTAGTAAACTGAGCTAGGGAGGGAAGCCCTGTGGGGAGAAACATCCGCAATTATTATAAAACTCTTGCCTAATTCGTTTTGGTCTTTCTCTTTCTTCTTCTTCTTTTTTTCCCCCTGCTGGTGACCATGTTTTAGCAATTATGTCCTGTGTTATTGTGAATATATACATATATAATTAGGGAGAAATGTAACAGAACTCACCATTTCTATCAGCTCTGACAACGTTTCCTTGGTTTTCTCTTCTGCCGTGCAAATCTTCTCATCTGCGATAGGAATCATTGTTGGGGTACTTCGCTGAGTGACTCCCAAGTAAAGCGCAAACAATAATAGCAACTTTCTATTTTTGATATGCTTATAGGCTGGCCAAGTGTTACAATTTTAAGGGGAGTAAGTGAAAAAAAAAAAAAACAAAACCAAACCACCATTCTAATTTAGCTTTACTCCATCATGTCAATGGAGGGAATTGGTAGGAGACATCCATTCTGTGTTAGGGAGCTTTCCAATGGGAAGAGGACATGCATTATTAATGCACAAAATATGAATTATTCATAAGGATCAGAGTTTATGCCAAATTGCGACACATGGTAATTTATCTGAAAGACTGGTTACCATCACTTTCTTGTTTGTGGTAACTGAGATAATTTTTTCTAAATTATTACAGTTGACACAACATAGCCCTGTGTGTGTGCCAACATTTATGGACAGATATTTGAAGCAAAAGGAACCGAAATACAGTTCAGTTTGTATTTGTTTTATATTTTACAGCATTTTGGGTGCCAGTGAGCAGTATACTTTCTCAAGATTTATTCTTTTTGTCTGTGTTTACATTCAGACTTCAGAATATCTATTGAATTATGGTTATTGCACGTGGAGAGAAAAGTTCAAAATATGATCAAATAAATCTGATCTTATTAGTTAGCGTTGGTTTTCTCACCAGTTAATTTTTTAAAATATTCTTATGGTATAATTTACAAAAGAGGCTGATGACATAGTTGCCAGAACACATTGCAAACCAGAGTTTTAATGGAGGCTGCACATGATGGTGAAGGATGCTTCAGGGAACAAGCATGGGGACCCTTTGTCCACAGTCAGGAATGTCAGTGGCATTAATCTAGGCTGCATATAGCCTAGAACAGCATGCGACATGTATATTCTAGGAACATGTGCAAGTCTCAAAGAGAGGTAGGGCATTTATTTTGTCTAGCACGGAGTGGGCACTCGGTAAGTTCATGTTGAAATATGTGCTGACCTCTACAGTGCATGCGTGGTCTTGCCATTTATAACCTTCTTTAGGAACTAATACAACAGCAGTTTTATGAATGGAATCCAGACCATGTTTAGGAGGGTTTATAATTAAATACAAAAACATTTCATGGTAAGCAGCTGTTCCTGGTGCCAAGGAACGCTTCTTCAGATCTGGAAAAAGACGAGAAGGGAGCACGTTCTGCTGCTATTCCTTGTTGACCTTTGACCTTTCCTGGCCTCAGTTGTCTGGTCTGTACAATGAATGCTGTGTAAGGATGTTCTTGGGAGCATTAAATAAGACATTGGTGAAAATGCAATGAAGGTACAGAATATCGATTCTGCTTGTTGCTTGTGTCATTTTCTTTAATCAATGATGTGTTAGGATTGGCGGAAGGATGTAGGAATTAGGTATTTCCTTAGCTTTCTATGAGAAGTATACAAAGAAGTGTTTAATGCAGCTCCAGATTTTTTCATTGATTGGATGAAACTTTTACAAATCATATACATATATTTGTATGTATGCCTATTTTTATACATAGGAATGAATACATACATACAACATGTATATGTTGTATATACATACGTACATATGCATATATTGTATAATATATAATATACATATATATTTATATATGTGATTTTTTTAACAGGACAGGAAACAGTCTAAAAATGTTCCCATTCAAATGGGTCAGAGATAAGTGGTCACCTTCATTTGAAATCCTAAACAGTTTAAGTGATGAAGCAATCAGATATGTATAGATTTATTCTCGTCTTTAAACAGCAAAAAGCTTAATGAAATACAACTCATTTAACTCAAAAGTTTCAGTATCTTCACATCTGTATTCCCCAGCTTAATCCCCATGGGTTCTTGGAGGTCTCCAGCTATGCCCTGAGTACCAAATTTGTTCAGGAATGTCGACATTACTATTTGCGGGGCAGGGGGCAGGAGTGGGGCAGCTGGCTATAATTATCTGACTAATCCACAAAATGCACTAAAAATTTCTTTTCAGGAGAGAGGCAAATCAGGCAATTTGTTCAACATTAACCTGCTGAATGTGTGACTCAGATGGCATCATATAACAGCTCTCACTTCGTTTCTTTCCTTGCAATGGAGAGAATTTTTCAATCAATCATCGTCATGGCTTGCCCACAATGCAAGCTTCAGAACTAAAACTTGGGTCTGTCTATCTACGCACAATCCCTCAGTTGCTTGCCTTTAAGTGACATTTCTGTGCTCTTGTCTACCAAGGACATATCAGCTTGGAGCTCTTCTCTGACCTCTGCTCATATAAATTCTCCTGTCTACCCCACATCTCCTCTTGGATGACTCACAGACCTGCTGCTCCTAGAGTTATCTCCATCTTAGCCGCTAGAGGTCCCAGAATTTTGGTTGCGTAGGTAAAAATCACAAGCAAACCCTGGTGTCATTTCACTCTTCTCCCCTCATCTCTCACCCCTACAGGCAATCCATCAGGAGATCTTGTGGGCTCTGTCTTTGAAATATATCCAGAATCGGGCTCTCATTGCACACCACCTGGTCCAAACCCTCATCGTCTCCTCCCTGTAACATTGCAACAGTCTTCTGATTTGACTTCCTGCCTACAAGCTTGCTCCTGTTAGTCCCTTCTCAATACAGCAAAGTGTTCCTTTGGAAATATACGATAGGTCATGTCACCTGGCTACTGAAGCTGTCAGAGGCGTTTGAACCAGAGCAACTCCATCTTGAATAGGAGCTGGGTAAAATAAGGCTGAGACCTACTGGGCTGCATTCCTAGATGGTTAAGGCATTCTAAGTCATGGAATGAGATAGGAGGTGAGCACAAGATACAGGTCATAAAGACCTTGCAGGTTGCAGTAAAGAAGCCTGCTAAAACTCACCAAAACCAAGATGGCCATTAGAGTGACCTCTGGTTGCCCCCACCGCTACATGGTGCCACCCCACCAGTGCCATCACAGTTTACAAATGCCATGGTAACCTCAAGAAATTACCCTATATGGTCTAAAAAGGGGAGGCATGAATAATCCACCCTTGTTTAGTATATCCTCAAGAAATAACCATAAAAATGGGCACCCAGCCGCCCTCGGGGCTGCTCTGTCTATGGAGTAGCCATGCTTTTATTCCTTGACTTTCCTAATAAACTTGCTTTCACTGTACTCTATGGACTTGCCCTGAATTCTTTGCTGTGAGAGATCCAAGCACCCTCTCTTGGGGTCTGGATGAGGACCCCTTTCCTGTAACAAAGCCATTGGTGACATTCCATATTCTGCCGAGAAGTCTAACATCAGGCCATGAGGCCCTGTGCTGGCCCGGAACCCTTCCTTTCTCTCACTGTTCTCTCTGCTTGGAACGCCCTTTCCCCATGTGTCCTCTCCTGGCTCACTCCCTCACCAGCTTCATCCTTTCTCAGCTGCTGCCTTCTCAGGGAGGCCTTTCAGAACACTCTATTTTATTTCTTCTTCCTCTCCTTTCCTTCTTTATCTGTGCTTTTTTT